TCTTTAGGACTACACATGATTGAATATGGTATGAAGGTGCCTAAAAACAAGTTTCAAATCTCTAATATAGTTCTTATTAAGATTCTACTGAAAACTTTTATTATAAAATCAAGAAAATTAAAAATAAGCTGATTAAAACAAAGAGACAGAAACTGCAGAGTCCCCACATGAGATCCCTCCTGGGGCCTTGCCTTCCAAGGAGGGACCCATTGTGGCCTTGCTTAACAATGAGCCCTTCATGCTTAGGGTCCTCTGCCGCTCTGCCCTTTGGTGACATGGCCTTTGCCAGTTCCAGATATCGCATCTACATTGACAGAAGATAAGGAAAAACAAATAGCAACAATCACATCTTCTCCTTTTATCAGGAAAGCAAGAACTCTTCCAAGGAACCTCCAGCCAACTTCTATCTATGTCTCACTTGACAAAACCATGCTGCCTGACTGTTCTTAACTACACAGAAAGCTGGGGAAAGAGCTTTCTTGGAAATAACAAAGAGAAGAGGTTAGAAATGTCTGGTAGTTGAGCTAACAAATAGAAATAAGATATTGGTTTTTTTAAAGAAAAGGATGCAAGATCAAAATTGGGGCCAAAGTCAGAGTTTTTTTATTATTTTTACTTTTTAACTTTCCAACTACATAATGTATCTGAGTACATGAATATTTGAAGAAACAATCAAGCAAATCCCAGATACTACATGATTTCACCCAAAAATATTGTGGTGCTACAGAATAATGCACTGGACCGCAGGATCGGTTTGAAAGACAAGGTAGGCAGTTCAGATCTCACCAGTCGCTCACCAGAACTCTATATGAAGGAGGCGGGGCTTGATGGTGGCTAGGGTGGAGGTGTAGTGAAGTTTGTCTTCAGCGATACCATAGAATATCAGGCAAAGCAGATCCAGGGCAGAGCTCCAAAACTCAGAACCACAGAGATAGGAATATTTAAAAGGTTTGAAGACTTATAGCTAGTGGAACTTGTAGCAAAAGTAAGAAATCACGTACTTTTGAATCTGTCAGGCTCGGCAGTTCCAAGCCGACAACTTGGGTGAAACCAAACGGCAAGACCAAGCAGGGAAGCAGACACGCCACGGAAAAAAACCTGCGGGAACCTCGGAGCAAAGGTAAACAATACACTTC